TATTTTCAACCTCAGTTGGAAAATCCATTCAAGGCCTTGTTTGGAGAGAATCATTGTAAATTAATTATAGATGCTTATTCTTTCCATCCTTCTTTCTTCTACTATGCCAAACAATAGAAAATTTATCCATCCATCATACCAAACAAACATACCGAAAAATGTATTTTCAACCTCAGTTGGAAAATCCATTTCTATTACTTTTCTTTACTCCCAATTTTCCTTCCCTCCTACCAAAATACACACACACTAATACCCCAAACACACATACACACTCTTATACACATACACAGTACACATTAATATACCAAAATACACACACAAACTCTAATACTCTGAAATACACACCAATAATAATACACCAAAATACACACTCTCTACCACACCAAAAAAACACACATACTAATACACCGAACACACACATTTACACACCAAAAAATACACATACACACTAATACACCAAAATATACATATTAATACAACAAAACACATATACCCACACTTATACACCAAAAAATACACATTCACTAACGCACCCAAATACACAATAATAAACCAAAAAACATAACTATGCACTAATATACTGAAACACACACATATACACCAAAAATTACACCCGCACACACACTAATAAACCAATAAAAATACACATACTTAACACACCAAAAACAGACATGCACAAGCACACTAACACCCCAAAACACACAAACATTAATACACAAACACAAATACAGAGTAATATACACCCACACACATTAATACACCTGATGTAGATCGTATTAGCTTGAGTCTTAATGTAGATTAAGGAGAAGATAATAGGGTGAGAATAGAAGAATAAAAGGATATGAGAAGTGAAGAATAGAATTACGGGAATGAGAAATAGAAAAGATAGAGGAGGGGAACAAGGCAATCTAGGCAAACATGCCTTAATAATATTCAATAAGTCAAGTCTAAATAAAACCTATATATGCATCCCTTTATATTGGAAAACCAAAACCCTAGAACAAATAAATAATAACAATAAACTCTCAAAAATTAAAAGAAATTAGTTAAAAAATAAATACTAAAAATATCCAAATAACTCTCAAAATTAATCTATAATATTTATTCATCCAACTCCTACACAATCCCCATTATTCTTCTCCGGTTGAGAAAAACTCTTCAACGAAGCATCATCAAAGCCAAAATACTCTAAGAGCGCATAATCAAGATGGTAGAACTCCTCTATATTGAAAGAAGGATCTATAGTTGTCCATTGAGTAGGATACTGTGGACAATATTCATCTAAAACACTAAAAATGTGGTTCTGCAACACATCATCTATCTGCCTTGGAATGTGCAATGAAAGTGGAGAGATAAGAACCGAAGATCGTGTTGAGAAAGGAGTAATTGCACTAGTAGGAATACCTGCTAATAAAATAAGAGGCTCTAGAGTGCCTAGATTAAGTAGCATGTCTTCCAAATAAAAATTCGGACTAATATTAACATTCAATGAAAAATTAAGCAAATTAGTATTAGATCCAAATTCAAGAATAAGAAAACAATTCCCATCAGATTTAAACAACAAGCATTCAATGGGACAAGACTTCAATGATAAAGGAGTAACAATAACGCCAAGTTGCTGAAAATAATTACGTACAAACTCAAGTGAACACTTGACAGTAGGTAAAGAAACAAAGTCAACAATCTTAAATTGAGAAGAATCCGTAACAAAGTCATGATGAGTCGGACAAATAGGCACAAAATATCACTAGTAAATTCTAAAATAAATGACTCAATTGGCTTAACATCTTGCATAGGTATAGACGCAACAGACTTTCCAACAATTTTCAAGACCATTGATGGTTCAAGAATTGACACAAGCAAAAACTCACACATTTTCTTTTGATATGAATTCTTGTGGGTGCAAAGGAGGACAACTCTGATCCAATGAAACTAAATGAGGGAGTTGGAAGTCAATACGAGTAATATTTTTCTCTTTATTCGAAACTAGCATATCTAAATTCTTTGCCACATTCGAATTAGGAAAGCATGTAAAAACAACATAGACATCGTTCAAGTAATCATGATACTCATATGTGGTAGAATTAAAATTGAAAGGTGTCCTGTCACAATATTTAGCAGATTGTGATTGAAAACCTATCAAGTTATAATTGGATTTCTTATGAAATTTCTCAACCTTTAGAGGATATTGATATGCTGTAACAAACGTATTAGAGTGTAAAATTTGACCTCCCTTCTAATTTTTTGTCTCAACCCAAGAATAAACTGATCAATTGGTCAAGGTTTTTCAATAATGTCATACAAGAACATGAGATAATCGAACTGAGCAAAGTAATCAAAGACATTAGAAGAATGTTGTCTAAGATTGAATCATTGGTCATAAACTTGATCCGTATTGGAAGTAGGCAAATACTTTCTTTCAATTTATATCTCATGTCAACCAAAGTGATAGGTGATTCTCCTAAGTGGTCTAGGCTTCTTTAGATTGCTTGCCAATACGGCTTGGCGGAACTTTAAAACATCAATTTAGCAAAACAGACGCAATGAGAATCTAACATGCCATACCAATCAAAATATTCTTTTAAATGAGCTAACCAATCCAAAAATTGATTGGGATCCGGAGTACCACAAAATATACATTGTATTTGCTTGATTCTTAATGTAGATTAAGAATGTAGAATTTTCCAAAATATAGAACTGCCCAAGAAGTTTTAGAAATTACAGAGTCTTCCCCCAAAAGTTCCAAAAATTGCATAATTATTCCCATAAAGTTTCTAAATTTCAGAATTTCCTCAAAGCAAAGCTTAGATTATGGTATACATACTCTTATAAAAATTTGAAACTGATATTTTTATTTATTAAAAAATTAGAAAATTTGAAAAGGGTCCAAATCATATGTCAATTACATTCTTAAACTTGTTTTGGTGTCATTCCCCTTGTTTCAAGAGTCACTCATGCGTATCTATGATGCCTTTAATTCACATATTTACTCCAGTTTAAGAGTCCCTCCTTGAAGTCATCATCATAACAAGTCTAGGTATGTCTACAAGGATTCAACACATATGACCAAATCAATTAAAAATCTTTCTACATTTTGTAGTACTCCGGATCCCAATCAATTGATGTAGAGTTGATCTACATCAAATTGATGTAGATCGTATTAGCTTGATTTGTAATATAGAATAAGGAGAAGACAATAGGAATGAGAATAGAAGAATTAAAGGAGATGAGAAATGAAGAATATAATTAAGAAATTGAGAAATAGAAGAGAGAAAGAGGAAGGGAACAAGGAGATGTAGGCAGACAAGCCTTAATAATATCCAATAAGTCAAGTCTAAATAAAACCCTTACATGCATCCCTTTATATGGGAAAACTAAAACCCTAAAACAAATAAATAATAAGTTAATAACAAATAAACCCTCAAAAGTTAAAAGAAATTACTTAAAATATAAATACTAAAAGTATTCACATAACTTTCAAAATTAATCTATAATATTTATCCAACTCCTACACAATTCTCATTAACACCAAAACACAACACTCACACACACTAATACACCAAAATAAACACACACACACATACACTCATACATTAAAACACATATATACTAATACACCAAAATACATACACACTAACATTTTAGTGGTTAGGTGTATTAATGTGTGTGTTTTAGTGTCTTAGTTTGCATGCGTGTTTCAGTGTATTAGAGTGTGTGTGTGTGTTTCGTTGTATTAGTAGGTGTGTATTTATAAGTTCATAATCCAATCACCAACAATTCCCAGAGGTAGCCTGGGAGGAAGCCGCACAGTTGCAGCAATGCCACACCATAAGAATGGTGATTGTACTCTGACATTCCATTATAAACTTGAAATGGAGTAGATTTGGTCAGTACTAGGGTTCAAATCGATTTTATCCCAAATAAATTAACAACCGGTCCCTTTTCCCCAAGTGTACTAGGATAGCAACCCGCATTAAGAACAATATAGTACGCTTGATTGGAAGCAAAAACTTTTCATAAGATCTTACAGATATTCAAGTATAAAGGTGGACTGGGTAACCACCTTATATAAAAATGAAACAAACTAGACGAGTACACTAATCCCCATGGAACAAAAAAGTAGCTAATTACTACGAAAATGAAACAAACTAGAAGAGCACACTCAGGGGCGGAGTGCCCACCCTCAATTTTTTTTTTCTAAAATTACTTATATATATTTTAAGTATTTTTTCAATATATTAAATTGTGTCCATCCTAGTTTTTAATCAAGACCAAAAAATGCATGATATATTCATGAGTTTACTTATAATTTTAACATTTATTTTAGTAATTATCATCGACATGATAGATAATATATTTTATTGTATAATCGAATGAATGATAAATAATCAAGTGATAATATGATTGTGGATATAAATAATAATAAAGTTAATGCAAGACTTTTAACGTATAAAAACTCATCAAAGTCAATTCTAAATAGTTTTGATTAGCCTTTGTTTGGTAAAAAGATATATTTTTTTTGTCATTTGTATCTAGTATCTACTATACTTAGTAATTTTAGTCTTTTAAATTTAATGAACTTTTAATAATTAAATAGGATATAATTAAATATAAATGTATTATTCTATTTTTATCAATTACAAGAAAAAAATTAAGCTTGTTAAAATATACAGTGCCCACCCTGAAATAATTTTCTGGCTCCGCCCCTAGTACACTTATCCACGGAACAAAAAAATAGCTAATTACCATTGCCAAACTTTATGCCATACAGATCCATATTATTGATAAAATTTTAAAAATTTGAGCTAGAACGGCTAGCCTATTTAGAGTAAGTGGGTCTCAATGTTGCTCTTTCATAGACAGGTCTAAATAAGAGAACTAGGAAACTAATATTTAATAAAATTCTGAAAAGGCAAGGGTTAGAGTAAGTCACCTGTAGTCAGTGAGAGTCAATTCTGCATAATAGTAGTTATTATCTAAACGATGATTCAAATTTACATTCAATATAAGCATGACTTTTGGGTTGTTCCAGAAATAAGCTGCATGATTGAACAGGAATTGCATGATGGAACCTTAGGAGTGGACACAACACAAATATAACAAGAAGTGTTGGGCATATATATCACCTTAAGCTTTCCCAAGGTGAAAAGATGAACCAGCCTGTCCAGATGCTGTTGCCATAGGTGACTATATTGTACCAGGAAAAAGCCAGCCTGAAAATGTTGGAATCTTCATAACAAGAGGACAAAAAGAACGCAACATCTTGTGCTTTAAATTTCTAATCCCTTAAAGGAGTCATTGAAATGAATACCAAATTTTAAACCTCATTTAAGGCAGATAAAAATAAATGACAGTGATAATCAAGAAAACCTTTCGAATCTATATTTTATATTTATTTAGACATGAAATTTCAAGACTTTTTAGAGACTCAGAACAAATTCCTCACTCAATGCACAACTCAAATTTGGAGACTGATACATATGGAACTAGACCCCATTGTCCAAATCATTCATTTAATGCATTCAAAGTTAGGCTATCTGTTTGAACAAAAAAAGTTAGGCTATCTGGATAAAGTCCAATAAGTTTACATTTTTGGAAAAAAATAACCTAATAATTAAGGCAAAAGCAATTATCTTTGAAACATCAGCAAGGGCATGTAAGTTACTGAAGTGAAAATGCTCCAATACTAGTCTTGTAAAGTATGCTAGCTTTTTTTTTTTTTTTTTTTTGGGGGGGTGTATTTTGGTGAGATAAGCCTAACTACATAATTTTGCTACGAGCATCCTTTAACTTAGACACTAGACAATCTGCATATGAGACTCTAACAATGACGTATAAGCTGCCAATATTCTTTCATGTCTACTTGCCAAGCAAAGAGATTGAACTAGTTTGCATTAGGAAGTGAGCCAAAAAGAATTTGGGTATATGCACATATTATTAAATATCAGAACAACTAAGCAATACACAAGCACCAAAACAACACCACATGCACATCGTCATCACCATAACAAAGATAATCACAAAAATGATATGTAACGATAAAGATTATAATATCGTAATAATGTTTGTCCTCGAGACTATGAAAGTTGATTGCAGTAACATATATTGGAGGTTATAGTTACTCTATCAACTAAACTTATATATCTTGATCGTTGACCATCATGAGAATGTAAAGAAGCATCATGAAGCAAAGAGACATCAGTTTTGTACAGCCTACTATTGCATCAAATTAGTAACCAGATACAGTACATACCACAGTTTGGCTTTTTGCGAGAATCTTCTCACATAGTCCAGTATAATTTAATGGCTTCCATCCATGTTCTCCTTGATACTGAAACGACAACTTATTAGTTCACCAATAGAAAGCCGTATTCATGAATTACCAATCAGTGTCGACATGGAATAAACTGATGTAACAAATTTAGACTTCAGAGTATGATCATTAACACTCAGTTCAAATGGGATCTATGCAACAATGATCTTAAACTTTTTTTGTTTAGCCTCAAAAAGAATGTCACATGACACACAACTCCAGAAATTTTTTAAGTGTCTTACACATTTCTAATTAAAATGTTGACAGAATTATATAAATGAAAAAAATTGATCCTCCTGAATCTTACAATCATGCACCAGGAAGGAGTGACACGCTGTAACAGGAATAATATTGATATATTTGATGTGACTACCACATCAACCTGAGGAATCTATTATTTCTTTCTTTTGATAGGTTACCTGAGAAATCATCCCAATAACAACTAGTCGCCCATAGATCGCTAGCGCATTCAAGCATAGATTAAACATTTCACCACCAACAGACTCATAGATGATGTCAACACCTTTTGGGAACTCCCTTTTTAGAACCTGGAAAAGTTGAAGTTAAAACTTTACTGACATGAAAATGAGGACAAACAGTAAATGTAATCAGATAATGATGCACCCATTCTTTACAAGAAGTTGGCAATGTAAATAGAAGGTTGAAGGTAAAAGTAGGCCTGTAACTGCATTCGGTTATCGACTTATTGGATACTCTAATCACTACAGAACTCATGTCGGATCAAGCGTCATATAATCGAATAGGAAAATGAGTAACCACATAAAGTAACAGGAGCAACATAGTCATGGTGAAAGACATCATGCCACATTTTGAGGACATACTCTGTAATATCATGGTATCTTGGGGAAGTCTCGGTGAACTTATAAACTCGGGGGAATGTGAGGACATGTCTCAGCATAGAGACTGGAAAAAAACTAGCCCACAACTTCAAGTGCATTCTCCAACAAAAACACACTGAGAATTATTCTATGCACATGCAGTTAAAGAAATACTATCCAAGTCATAAGGTCGCTAGAACACAGATTTTTGGTCAAAAGCTCCAAATATATGGTTGTCACCTTTAATATCAATTCCACATTTGGGTTTAGATATTATTTGGAATATCACAGAGATATTAAGATTGATTGATATTCAAGAACACCGAGCCCAGCTGGGTTGACCAACAAACTAGGTGCACACTGGATAAGTTGTTCTCTTTGCAAGATAAGGTAGGTTGATCCCATAAAAAGGAAAAGTGACTGACAAAAACTCAGCATGCAGACAGAACCATAATGCAATTCCAAATAATTCATTCTTCATCACATAAAAACGTTGAGTTGTATACCTCTGTCAAATAAGTGGGGTGGAATCCCCTATGTTGCCATAACATTAATATCTTGAGGGCCTCATGTTACCACAATTAATCCTTTAGGAAGATCCACCACTGTGGAAACATATAGCATGAAATCTATAGCAAAGAAACATGTTGCAAGTTTATCACGTAAATCTATAGCAAAGAAATCCATTTGCGGGAATATATTGACCAAATAAATGGATAAGAGGACAAGCAGATTTGTGATCAAATTCTAGTAAGTCAACAAGTTTATCAATAACTTCTACACGTCTAAAGAGGAGCAGATAGGATCTGGGGTACTATGAATCAATTTTCTACTAGAGCTTGTGTAGCCTTATAAACCTGGCTCGAGAGAATGGGACAATTTTTTTATCCCCATTCATAGGTAGCTTTCTTTCAAAAAGAATGCATATCTCAATGAGCCGACTGAGGTAAATTAGTTGGCCATTGTATTGCCATCAAATAATGAACCAGTGACGACCCGAAAAGAAAAAGGAGTACGAAACATAGAATACATTACATAAATCTGAGCCACGTACAGTTTTGATATCTTCTGCTTTGTAGTCTATGACCCGATCAACACCCAAATCGCTCAAAAGCGTAGCCTTTTGTTTACCTCCACAAGTTGCAACCACTGTATTTCCAGCTAATTTTGCAAGCTGCAATTACCACAGCTCAGTATTAGCAAACTTGTAATCGTAATGAGGGTAAAAGGAAGGAACATTATTTCGTAATCCAATAAAATATGATACTGTGAGGCATAGCACATCAATAGACCGCTACAGAAAGTTTTAGGAGAAAAAATAAGAGTACAAACCGTGATTGAATGGGAAAAAGAGTTTACCTCCAAGATGAACTAATCTGTTTTCAGAAGATCATAAAAACTCCCCATCTAGTCAAGTAATCCTACTTATATATCCCTTTACTTTCACTTAACTGTTTTAGCACTGTGGACATTCATCTTAACTAGAGCCTCAGCACTTCGAAAACTGTCAAATATACTGTCCGATTTGTCTTCGTTCGCAATTTTTATGGAACTTAATATGTCTGTAGGGAAATTTACAAGGGGTGCATAGAAAGTACAAGAGCTAGAATGGGAAAAACATAAGCTAAGTGGAAAGAAGAAGAAATGATAATGATTATGATTAAGCAGCAATTACACAGAACACAGGAAGCAAGAGAAGAAACAAGAAAGACTGAATTAGAAGACCAAAAGGATCTGATATGGTTTTTTGAACAAGTGAAATAAATAGGCATCCACTAAATTATTGTCCTTTCATCCTTTGTGTAGGATGTTGTTGGCCATATACTGCATGACATGTATTTTTTTCATATTAAAATATTTACCTGGACTGCAAACTGTCCAGTCCCTCCTGCAGCAGCAGTCACCAGAACTATTTTTCCCGAATCCATTTGTGCTGCCTTCAATTTCAAAAAAAAGGACATGATTGAAAGTCAACAGAAATGTGTGATCTAAGTGGCGGATAAAAATGGCATGATTGATACAGCTAAATATTGAACCATCATTTGTTCCAAAAGCTTAAACCGTTAGAAATGATACAACTAACTTAAATATTTGTACTCAAATTGAAGTATAGTACTATGGTGAACCACCATGATATTACCACGTTAAGTATTTATACTTCAACCCAAAAGTCTTGCTACAATAGCTGAAAACTTGGATATTGTTGAACAATGGTCCGTTGACCAACTCCAAACTATTGTGTCAAAGTCTCGAACAAAAAGGGAAGAGAAGAAGTTTTGAGAGAAGGGGGTAAAGGATAATCACTCTCAAAAAACACCATAAATACAGAACAAAGGCGTAGAAAAGAATGAAAACTAAGGAAACGAATCCTAACAAGATGATAAAAATTTTATGCAATAAACCTTTTCTAGAGCAATTGATGCCGTTAGTCCAGATGTAAGCATGGCAATGACTTCTGGATCCGGTCTTGCCACAGGAAGAACGTGCTTTGAGGGTACCTAAGTTAAACAAAAGCTAATGTTTACAAAACCAATCGTCAAACCTATTGTGAATATGTATGATTGTATTCATTAAATATTTCAAAGGATGAACCCAAAAGAAATAAAACATGTATTTTGAAAAGTGTACCATCGTGAATTCAGCATAACCTCCAAAAGTCATGATTGCAGCTGGAGCGCCAACTTTAATGTTATTAACAGAAGCACCAACTGCAGCAATTATTCCCACAGCCTACAACATGCAAAGAGCCAAAGACAGAATTTTGTGAACAGGGAAAAGGATTTGCTAGAGGATTACCCATGCACCACTGGTCACCAAAACTAGCAACAGGAAATGTGGTGATTTTAAGGCTGAGCTAAATAAGGTTATAGTTGACGGCACGTAACAGTATTTCACAAGTCTTCAAAAACTTATCTTGATTTCTCAAATTCAGCTCTATTAAGTAATACTTCACAGACTGTTCCACTGTTCCTGCTAATGAGGCTAAGATTACGAAATAGGAAACTTTGACCACTAAGACCATTCTGGACCAAGCAAATTCTCCATGTAAAGAGTCATTAACTTCACTTGACCTATAATAAGACCCATTGGCCTTTCTGGCAACCCATGTATGATCCAAATTTACTAACCTTTCACTCCTAGAATTGTAAATAAGCCCAGCAGCAACTAACTCGATATTAACACAATTAAGGACTTTATTCTTGGAGGCCACAGATTTTGCTTTAAGCTTGACACTTACGAGATCTTTCTAGCCAATCAGTGGTTACAACATTATAAAATACAGTAACTTCACTTGACCTATAATAAGACCCATTGGCCTTTCTGGCAACCCATGTATGATCCAAATTTACTAACCTTTCACTCCTAGAATTGTAAATAAGCCCAGCAGCAACTAACTCGATATTAACACAATTAAGGACTTTATTCTTGGAGGCCACAGATTTTGCTTTAAGCTTGACACTTACGAGATCTTTCTAGCCAATCAGTGGTTACAACATTATAAAATACAGTAACTTCACTTGACCTATAATAAGACCCATTGGCCTTTCTGGCAACCCATGTATGATCCAAATTTACTAACCTTTCACTCCTAGAATTGTAAATAAGCCCAGCAGCAACTAACTCGATATTAACACAATTAAGGACTTTATTCTTGGAGGCCACAGATTTTGCTTTAAGCTTGACACTTACGAGATCTTTCTAGCCAATCAGTGGTTACAACATTATAAAATACAGTAACTTCACTTGACCTATAATAAGACCCATTGGCCTTTCTGGCAACCCATGTATGATCCAAATTTACTAACCTTTCACTCCTAGAATTGTAAATAAGCCCAGCAGCAACTAACTCGATATTAACACAATTAAGGACTTTATTCTTGGAGGCCACAGATTTTGCTTTAAGCTTGACACTTACGAGATCTTTCTAGCCAATCAGTGGTTACAACATTATAAAATACAGTAACTTCACTTGACCTATAATAAGACCCATTGGCCTTTCTGGCAACCCATGTATGATCCAAATTTACTAACCTTTCACTCCTAGAATTGTAAATAAGCCCAGCAGCAACTAACTCGATATTAACACAATTAAGGACTTTATTCTTGGAGGCCACAGATTTTGCTTTAAGCTTGACACTTACGAGATCTTTCTAGCCAATCAGTGGTTACAACATTATAAAATACAGTAACAACCAATACTACCCCAGACATGAAAGGGAAACTGAAACCAAAAATAGATCAATAACCGTAAATCTGAGACACAAGCAGAAGTGCACACATGAGAAAAGATTGTATGCTGTATTGCATCTGCTAACCAACTCGATATTAAAATAATTATGGATTTCATTCATGGACCCTACAGATTTTGCTTTAGGCTTACCACCTATGAAATCTTTCTAGCAAATCAATAGTTACCGCATTATGAAGTACAGTAACCACTTTGACCACAAAAAAATGTACAGCAACCACCAACATTGCCCCAGACATTAGACGGAAACTGAAACCAAATAGATCGATGACACATAAACCTGACACACAAGCAGAAGTGCACCCATGAGAAAAGATTGTACGCACTTTATTGCATCTGTCAAACCTTACAAAGGCTTGAATAGATATCAAAACTTCTCTCTTTATATACATCAACATAAACATGCCAACACAATACACACATGTTTCATTTAACCATTATCTTTATCTAAATTTTAAAATATCAAGAGGGATTCTTTCTGCTTCCAAGCAACAACAATACATAACAATTACAAATACACACCAACATGCAAGATAAATGTCAACATTACCTAGATATTTCTAGAAAAGAAAGTATTAACGAAGAAATCCAAGTGCATAATGAATTCAAATGACTCGTAAACCCAGCACACAGTCAACGCTAAATTGATCATGTTTAGCTCTTGTTCCTTGAACAGAGCAAGAGTATAAGAGAGTACAAACATACATACTGTACAAGACTGACAATGCTTGATTTGCTACATGTTTAGTCAAACCCTGCCAAGCCCCTAATGGTGAAACACCCACTTCATCACCACTCCATTTTGTCATCATTTGTTACCATCACACAATAAAACAACGTTTCAAAAGCATTTGTGTATAGTGCAACTTGGGACCCCACATATCCTAGCTATTTAACACGTCTTTAATGTTAATTAACCTTCATCTTCAAGTTCAACAACAGAACATCAAACAACACCCAGTTGTATAAACTAACTCTCGCTCCCTCTTAATTACGAAAGCAAGCAAGGAAATTCTTGGTGCAAGCACTGTTGTATAATGTATCAGCAACCAGGGCAAGGACGGGGTTCACCCATCCTAACCCTGTCTCGAAGAACCAAGATCGGGTTTTCACTTCTCTTCCACACCCACTATTCTAAGTGCCCAGATTAATTGTTCCCCCAAGGCCACCCTAAGAAGGGCAGGGTGGGTTAATTTTTCCCCCATGGCAGCAAAGCCTAGAGACCACCACCCAAAAAAAAGTACTTACAAAAGCTGACCTAATAACAATGGCCACTGAATCATAAACCTAACACAAACATTCTGCATCAGTGACTGTGAGACCACAATCAATCGTTGTTTGTGGAAAACTCGGAAGATTACAGAATAATGTAGACATATACAGAGGAGAGAGGATTTTTTTCTTAAAGAAAAAGGAACAAAAATGAAAATACTATAATATTGGACAATGAACGAAAATACTCTTTAACAACAAAAGAAGAAAAAAATCAACATTCAATTCCGCTTTGGCTAAGATAATGACATATTGAATAGAAATTTGTCAAAATCCTACCTTGAAGAGGTATAGAGGTTAATTAGGCTTCATGAACAGCAATAAGCTCATCATAACATTGTGTACCAAGCCCATAAATAGAATATTGTAAGAAAAATATAAGCACAAAAATAGAATCACTTCCACATGTTGGATCAATTTATGAATTTATGAAATAATAATAAGATCAGCATCAACACACGAAGGAGTATTAAGTATTTTCTATGCACCTCGAAACCAGCATCAAATGGGAGACGAGCGCCAATGTCTTTGCTGTTGCCACTGAAATAACGGCCAGAGCTAAAATTCACCTATCACAAAATGCCCACGTTAGTGAACAATCTACCCGAAGAGAGATGTTGGTCACCAATAAAGATGTTGGCTGGCCAATGTCAGTTCAAGTCTTAAAAAAAAGGTGAAAAACACAAGCAGTAAAATCTGTATGTCTAATAAAAAAAAACTGTAAATCTGAATGGTGATATACGTTTAAGTGATGTACATAGTATACAGAGATTATGCTCACTGATGAAGGGGGACAAATTAGAAAGGAAAAAAAAGCATAAAAACAAACTCGAGTAAAAAATGAGAAATTGTAATATTTGTGTTGTATCATGTTCTCCACCTCGTACTGCAACTTTCACACATCTTTTTTGCTAGAGAATACAACTCAAAACTAATTGTCAAGGGAGTAGAGACTAGAGACGTCCCTCAACCACCTTCCACAGTGGGATACGAGATTACACCCTCCCTCACGGGAGACCCGGGCCACCAAGTGGCCTAGCAAACAAACAAAAAAAATACATATTAAAGATTTAAATGGGTAAACAACTTCACAACCAGCCAAGGCCTGCCTGATACCATATTAGAGACATTAAACCTAAAACCCATTGGCAATAACTGGATAGGATTGTGGAATACAAGCTCTCTTCACACCCTCCCCACATGAGACTCAAGCTCGCACACAAACCAACAAATCAAATCCAAATAGACAGCCAAACTCCCCACATGAAACGGCCAAAACAATGTTGTTTTCCATGAGACGGAAATGAATCTGGCAACATTCCAATGCTTCGCAATGTTTCAGAATATTTCAAAATATTTCAGCATGTTTCGAGGCGTTTTAAAATGTTTCGATATATTTCGACCAATATTTTGAAAATATATTCCCAATTTTTTATTTGTTTCCATTCTAGTACCAAAATGTTCTTAAAATATTTGTAAAACGTTTTCCTTTTCTAGGTGACCGAAATAATATACCGAAACAAATTTTATCCTGGAAATAGCTAGAAAAACATGCAAGGCCCAAATCTAATATCAGTTTTGAAGCATTCAACCCAAAACCAATTGACAAGGAATGAAAATACCTCTCAACAATATAAACAGAACTTGTTTTCAATGTGGGGTTTAAGTTATATTTACACTTTCATCATTTATTGTGAGGGCTAGTCAAAAGTACAACATCTCCCACATAATCACTAGATATTCATTAATTGATATTCACTAAACAATCAATGGATCATTCCTCCCGGTATCAAGTGAATAAATAATCTTCAGGTGTGTGTCCATCTAACGGTTATAATAGGGGTAGGAGGCTGTTTATATTAGCCACAAAGAAAAGGAGGATTAAGGAAAATGATGGGGAGCTGATTTGAGTTCCGAGAATAGCTTAAATGCCGCAGCAAATAGACTCCATTTACATCTAAGTCCTATAGTGAAACCTGATTTCCAAATACACTTGAGACTTAACAGGCATATTGAAATTCAAAACAAGAACTAGAGACATCAAAGTCAAAATAACGTGACCGAGAAAGGATAAACTGAATTTCACCTTCAACCACCTTCTAAGTACATAAAAATAAATAACAGAAACTACACGTTAGTCACGTAGTCTTGAGGCTTTTGTCACACAAGTAAAGGCTAGTCGAGAATCAGAACATCTATGTTGATCCTAATTAAAACAGAAAAATGCAAAATAGATCTGAGTGCGCACAAACTTACATCACTAGCATTAACACCAGCATATATGATTTTCAAAAGGACATGATCTGGTTTGACTGGTAATCTCAACGGCCTGCGCACTATGCTTGTAGCACTACGGAAATTGTGACTCAGCGTGTGAACAATTCTAGAAAGCAAGAAAAATAAAAACAAATGTTAAAAAAGTAATCAAGCAATCTGTTGGGGATTGCATAACCATGAAGAACCAAAAAATTAAAAGCATGCTTGCAGAAAGGCAAGATGTAATTGTATGGGAAGACACAAATAGTAGAAGAGTGAACCAGAAAAATGAGAGGCATATGCTGCTGCAGACTATAGTTCTGCTTCAGTGAAGATAACTCAACTGAAACCTAGTGTTCATTGTTATTCACCACTTCAAAGAACTTAGGTCTTAAACTCATGTGAAGAAGGGCCCCTTTTTTGTTGGATCCATATGATGAAGGTGTAGTTCACAGATTACCATGTCCAACAACAGAACTATCCAAAAAGACAACTAGAATTGTAACTTTCCTCTTTCTCAAAGCAAACCAAAAGCTTTGCAGAGACTTTCACTTACATCTTATCGATGCTCTCCGGAATTTGCACATTCAGTGGGACTGTGAACGAAGATTTTCTTCTCAATTTTGTAGAATGCACCAGATACTTTGCTTCTTCTATAGGAGTTGGCCAATATTCCATGCCTCTACGTTTAGTAATCCATAAACAGGATCCAGACTTACTCTCATCACTGATAAGCTCAAAGGCACCTGAGAAGTCAAAGATTGCAGCATCAAATTGGAAATATAGGCTGAGGTTGGCAGATAATGATATTATGATATACTTTATAGAAGTTCCCTTATTGCGAACAAATCTATTCTAGTCATATCGCACCCTGGATATTAACTTATAGCCAAGGAGATCGATAATGTATTGATACAAGTGAAGGTTATATCCTTGCTTATATTTACTTTAAATAAAAATCTGTATTAGGTTGCTAACCACCTATGAATCTATGACTTTCTTTCAGGGAAAAAAAAAACAGTATATCCTTACTTGAATCATGCAACATTGTTTTTGACATCAGAATTTGCAGCCTGATATGTAAATATTCAAGTTTATAATTGCAAAGGTTGAACTCATGCAATCAGCGGAGAGATATAGATGGGCACACACATGGGAGGGAAGATACCTTTCACCACCATCTCCATAGGAACATATCCTCCCATTAGACCAATAAACTTAGAACTCACCTTTGCAGCCAACTCAGTTTCAACAAACTGCAAGCAGAATAGCATGTCAACATAACAAATTCTGCAAACAACTCAAATGATTAAAGGCATGAATAATTGCTTGGATCAGCACATAAGAACCCTGTACCCTGCGCTACATCTACCGATCACCATATAATCATATTGGAATGATCTAATTGACTACTACTTTGCACTAGAGATTGAGATGAAGCCCCTTGGATAATAAGGTTAAAACAAGTTCATCAAACTAAAACTTGTAATAGATACCAGAAGATATTATGATAAAAGGGGGAAGAGGTGACTGCATAAATTCTTTGCACGTAAAAGATGAGTATAGCTAACACATATACATGGTAATTTGCCTCCAAATCCAGAAAAAGTTACCAAGTGACCCACATGGCATGTGAGTCAGCTTGCTTATAGCATACCTATGATTGTTAACCTATTCCTGAGATTCGTTAAGCATCAGGAGAAAAACGGTCATATTTCTGGCATTCGAAGAAACTATTTCCAATGTCAACAGAAAATATGTTTATTATTCAAACAAAGTTAATTACTCATCATCTGGCTGGCTGGTCAGCAGTCCATATGTCATCTTAGATAGATGAAGTTTCATTGCAGCAGATTCATTTGTTAATACGAAAAAGTTAAGTTATTTAGCAGTAGCACATCTGCTTATTATTTGATAGATGAGTAAACTCAAGGTATTATCAAATAAACAGAGATCATATCTCACCACATTGGTGAGGACTCCTGAAGAAGTCATATATGAGATACATTTGTAGTTGTATGCATGTGTTATAATGCATATCTGCGCCTATAACTAGAAACATGATTCTTTGATAATATTGCTTCTGGGGGTAACTTTTGTTTCTTGCCAGCAAACAGATGTATCCACAATTATAAAGACAACTTTTACCTCCGGGCAGAGTACATTAATACGAATTCCGTGACGCTTGTAAGGAGCAAGTGATCTGGTAAATAGTACCACACCCCCTGTTTAGAATTCAGGAAAAAAAATCAAGGCCCAAAAACAATACTAAGAGACACAAATCAAAACTTGTGTATTTGCTGTGAGGTACATGTGCATTAAGTGTATCATGGACAAATACAAATCGTCAGTCAAAACTAATTACAGAAAAAGGAAAAAGGTTAAAACTATAGACAGAATAATCAATAATGTGCAGAAGCACAAAACAACAGACCTTTGGAGGCTGAGTAGATCGGATCGTTATACATTGGATAAAGTCCTGAAGCAGACCCAAGGTTTATAATTACGCCAGGCTTCTGTGCAGTTTGCATTGCTTGAATCTGCTCACCACATTTAGATCAGTTTGCAAAAGCTAACAAACGAGAAAGACCAGAAACAGAACATGAACAATTTAAGCAAAGAACAAACCATCTCGGAACCAGATGCAATCTAGAGTTGATAGATGTAGAGGGAAAACTCAACAAAAATACCATCAATACAAATAACTCACAACAACAAGCACAACAGTCAATGCAAATAACTCACAACAACAAGCACAACAGTAACTCTACATCTATCAATCGTTGTTAGAGAACTTGGAACTAAATATTTGAAGCAGTCAACAGCAAGGATAAGAGGTGCTAATGTAACGCCCCGATTTTTCGGAATGCGTCACTTGATTAAATCAATCGATCGATAATAAACCACAAATAAATCTCCGAATATAAGGTCATAGCTCTATTTGCCTCGATAAATTTATAATCACAATTTTGATCTCCAAATAATAAAAATAATCTCCTCATTATACAAAGTTAAAAATTATATCAAGATTCATCCGTCTTCGATTTCTCAAATATCAACTCTGGTTCTTCTCTCCGAGATAATCCTAAAAAAATATTAAAGGCGGGGAAGTATACACTATGACAAGAAACAATATGCTCAACGAGAAAAGAATATGAATGATCAAATACCAAATAATTCAATCGATAGACGATCATAGATAAAAAAATCCAGAATCCAGAATCCAGAATCCAATTCGATAATTCACATAACTCAATATCTATCAAATATAACCTCATACTCGGGTCCTCTTGGTGACATGACAAGTGACACTTGGGCATATAAAATCCATACTCATATCGAACCATTACACCCCTCAGGGCTATAATCACAATCATACCCCGCAGGCCATAATCACATTTCACCAATTATGCCCCCAAGTACACTTCGTACATGTACCAATCAACCCCAAAGTATTTAGCCCAACGTATACATAGAGGTCAACCGATAACATTGACAGAATTTCATATAAATCAGAATAATCAATAAGAATACAAAATTTTAAATAATGAAAGAACACTCTTTACAAAGAGATTTAAAAGACAGGAGCATATTGTATACTACCCCGCACCTCAAATGACTTCGATAGATATGAATTTCAAAATACCCCGAACAAAATATTTGAATTTGATAATGATCTGAAATAAAATCACCGCTTAATTTTTAACCCCAAAATCTCATGAATTTTTTTTTTCTTCTATTCTATCTCTCTCTCTCTCTCTTCCTTTCCTTTCTTTTCTTTCTCTCCCTTTCTTTCTTCTCCTTGTGCATTGTTTGAAGACCCAAATACAGGCTATTTATAGCCATGCTTGCTTGGTCCCCAAGCATTTCATGGACACTTGTCCATGTCTTTTACTTCACCTTTCTCCTTTTTTTTTTTTTTTTTTGAATTTGAGCACATGGTAATTGACTCATACTCTTATATTTGGACACCTATATATATGTATGTGTATATAAATATATCACACCTTTATTATATCATTGGAATAACACATCATTTTTAACTCAAAATATGACCAGTATTATAGTTATTCGATCCGTTTTCACATAAAAAATTTCTATTTGAAGTCTATTTATTTATTTGAAATTTCTAAAAATCACCCTTAATTATATAGAATCATAATTAATGACCTAATTAAATAATTAATTTATATACGGGTCGTCACAGATAACATATGAAGTGACAAAAAAAAATAGTCACAGTGGCTTAACAAGTAAGGCATAGAAGAGAGAAATTACCAATAACAAAATAAAAGAGAGAGAAACAGTTGACAATGTGTGAACAGTACTTCAGTTAGTGGGATCATAAGTGAAGAGATCATATTTGTTGTGCTATTAGAAAAACAAGTCAAGAAAACTTATAAAAACAAAAGAAGAACACATGAAAAGACTAGAGAGAAATTAGGAGGAATCCTTTATCAGTTTCCTTCAATTACGGACATAATATATGGCAGAAAATGTTGCATTGAATATGTTAACATACACAATTTCTGTAGGTATTTGAATATATATGTGGGGTTACAGGTTCCTTTGGGAGGGAGATATATGAAGGGCTAATGGTCTATTTGATATATTATACAAAAAAAAAAAAAAGGGAATATGAGCAAAGAAGAAAAAAAGAGAAGAGTTGTTTGATTAGTAGATGGAAGCGCTAAATTATGTTCAGAGTTTATGGGATTTGAGAGGAGATTGTTCTTGATTCATTGGTATTCACTTTCATTGGGCTCAAATGACGAGGTAAGTAATTTATTGCACACTATGCAACATTGTTTAAATCTCTTTGCAAAAAGTTTGTTTCTTTGTTGTCGACATTGAATTTTAATTGATTGTTCAACTATTAATTTTTTATGTTTGTTCAAATGTGTCGTATTTGTTGTGTTGAAGATATTTTTGTTGCTGGACTGTTTGGGTGTATTGACACATTCGTCGGGCGCATTCACCGGCAAGGTTATGGAATTAAGATGTGTATATGGCTCTGAGGGGTGTGTGTCAAAATGAAATGTATCGAGTAATGCCTAGCATGTAACTGGGACGAACTAAGTACGAAGCCACGAGTGATTTAAAGGATTGGACAATTGGATTTTGTATGATTTATGAAAGAGATTTGTGATAAGTGTTCAATTTATTATATGTTTATGCGGTTGGTTGTTCGATTATTGTTTGATCATTTGTCATCGTATATTGTGCTATAAATTACTTACTGGGCCTCCCAAACTCACCCACATTAACCTCTCCCAGATGCGAGTTGAATTCAGATAAAAAAAATATTGGAATAGTGAAAGAATGGAGACTGAAGTCATAGCAGTCAATTTTGGGAAATTATATTAATTCCTTTGAGCTTTTTAGTGCTCTATATTTTTTGTTCAATTTAACAGTAATTGAGATTACAAATGAACATAAAAAATCAACAATTGAACAATCAATCGGAATCCAACGACGATAACAATAAAACAAACTCATTGCAAAGAGATTTAAATGAGAATGCATATTGTACAATCCTCCCAAATCCCATAAAAAAATTCGGACGTGATGTAGCCCCTCCATCTTTTGATCAAATAACTCTCCTCTTCTTCATCTCCTAGCCTCACATTTTGTCTTTTTTTTTTGTCTATATAATATGTCAATTATGAGCCCTTCATTTCTCGTATGGCATCTCTTTCTTTCTCCCTCCCTCCCTTCCAAAGGAACCCATAACCCCCTTATATATATTTAGAGCCGTACGAAAATTATGTATGTTATTTTTTTCAAGGCACCACTTTCTGTAATATATCATGCCATAATTAAAGGAAACTGATAAGGGATTCCATTTAATTTCTCTCTATTTTCTTCAAGTGTTTTCCTTTTGTTTTTGATAATTTTTCTCTTGACTTATTTTCCCACTAGTACCACCCATTTGATCTATTTACATTTGATCCCAGTAACTAAAGCACCGTTGATACGTTGCCAGTTAGTTCTTTTTTTTTATTGGTAAGTTCTCTCTTATGCTCTTTATTTGTTAAGCCACTATTTACGATCAATTTTCTCTCTTCACATGTTATCCCACAAATTCAAGCACCTTTGACCCATTGATATATATATATATATAGGGTTATCACACAGAGAATCTGTGAGAACACCATATTCTACCTTTTTTGCTTCATTGGTAGCAACCTATATGGATCATAAAGCATAAGATGTGTGCCCTGTTAGACCAAATTTACTCGTGATACTTGAGAAACACATAGGAGCTTAAAATTCTAAGACTGTTTTCTAGCTATGATGGTTCTTACTAATATAGGATATCAATCAAATAGAACATAAAATCATTAGATCAAACAAACCAAGGAACCAATAAACCTTATTTGTTCCTTCCTTTAACCAAAGTCAGTCAGTTAAATATCCACAAAAATGAAGACACAATTTTTTTAAAGGGACAGAAAATTATTGCAATACAAATATAGAGCAACTCCTTCAACAATTAAGAGCTAAATGTCAAGAAGAGTAAAGCAGATAACAGAACCACTTACAAGAATGGAATGAAAACTTCGAGAGTCAATTACATTGTGTCACAAAGGAAGAAGCCAATTCTAGTTGCAAACCATGAGTGGAAAAGATTATGCAATCACTGATATGTCCCCACTCCCCACACAAAGGCAGTGGATATAGATAGTGTCAAGTCAAATGTTAGAATAACAATTACAGATAATACCACGAAAAGTTACCGAGAGTACACAAGGCTTTTGAGCAACGGCACAAGGAGACTATTATATTCTACATAGGAAAGGGTAGACCTCTTCCAAACTAAAGCAACGATAAATCAAATCTCCTTTTATGTTAACTTTTCAGTCTTAATATGAACAATGAGAAAGACAAAGAAGGTGCTTAAAATTCACTTTCTAATACGACTCAGCACCTTGAAAGCCATGTCCGCATTAAACATAATGATATGTCGCTATGTATTGGAGATGTTACTCCAAATAATAGATCATATATATGGAAGTCAAAATAGTACAAAGAAACACAAAAAAGAAATGAGTCTATGACAAAATGTCCTCCCTCCCTAATACCATACTACCACCAAGTGCCAAGCAAGTATTATTTCAGGAGATAATGACTTCTACTCAAAAAAAAAAGCATATATCATAAACATTCGTCTATCAAATTACAAGAACTTCCAGTAAACAGGATACATACAAGTGCGATGACAGCAAATTGATAGCTAGTGATGAAAACAATGTTACCGCAAGGCGTGTGCAGTCTATCACTGCATTAAGGTTCACATTTATAGTTTGTCTCCATGAACCAGAACCATCAGTTTGATCTTTATGGAATGGCACTGGATTTCCAATGCCTGCACTGTTAATGCATATGTCCAAGCCTCCATATGTCTCCAAGTGCTTTTTAAAAGTAGCATTCAGTTCTCCTGTTTAAAGTAGGAAAGATTAATGCAATTTTTCAAAACATCACTACATATTATATTGCAGAATTATTCTTTGTAGAAAGACAAGCACAACACAATAGAATTAATCATGAATAATGAAAAAGGACACTTATATCTGTTTATAAACAACTTTTATCTTGGTGCGTATGGCAATAAAGTTGCAATCAAAATTTTGATCTTATCACTCCGGTGAGTTCTGTAGCACAATTAGACATCCCCAATGACACATTATCACAGACAAGCAGTCTCTAGCTAATAATGTAAATGTTAATCACTTAGAAGTTTGAGTGAGATACCATGGGAGCAAAACAACCACTCGTTGGTTCTCCATATGACTGAGAAACTTCCAATTATATATCATTTTTCAGTTCCTTGAATCTCCACCTTAAACCAAGCATAATATAAGCTATTGAGAATGCGAAGTGAGTCAAATATAAAGATCATGACTACATCAAAATCAAAGGCCGCACATGTTTGTGATTATAGCTCCAAATTCAAAAGTGTGTTTGCTATGAAAATGCAAGGCTTTAAAGAGTACAAAGAAATAGCAATGCATATTTATCACATGAACTGGCCATGGACACTAAATATGACTACAAAAAGATAGGACACACCACTATTCATTGCAGAGACATAACAGTGAACTTGATGATACAATTTACTATTTCATGTAAATATAGTCACTGTAGAAAATTAGTTGCATCTCCATCTCAAGCCTTGTAAACAAAGCGAGTGCTGAATTTTTTTTTTCACGTCATGAATACAAAACTTCACTCACTTGTATTTGAAACATCACATCTTATAAACATAGCAGTCGGAAATTCCAACTTTGGATGAAATTTGGCGTTCTCCTTTTCAGCAAGGGATGAAACTTCCTTTCCCCTCTCTTCAGAGAAATCAACAACAGTAACAAAAATTCCCTTCTGTGCGAGAGCCAAGCTAAGAGCTCTGCCTACATGTGAACCACCACAACACATACATATTACATATATATGTGAATTGTATCCCTAAATCAACAAAAACGGTGGACATGGAAGAAAGAAATTGAAAAGAAGATAAGAAAGATACATGTCATATACATATGAATTGGATCCATGTATCAACACAAACAGTGGATATGGAAAGCAAGCAATTGAAAAGAAAAGAAGATGCGAAAGATGCCTATTGTTCCTCGCCCATACTTATAGATATGAACTTTTATCTCTGAAATCTACATGTTACACATATCCATACTCATAGATACTCAATATGGAAAACAAGAAATTGAAAAGAAGAGAAAGATACATATTATACATACATATGAACACAACCAATGGATACGGAAAGCAAGAAACCCAAAAAGCAGATGAAAAAGATCCATATTATACATATATCTAAACGTTATCACTGCATCGACACAAACCGTGGATATGAAAAACAACAAATCTAAAGAATATGAGAAAAATACATACGCTATAAGAACTGTATCCCTGTAACAACACAAACAATGCGAATGGAAATCAAGAAATTGAAAAGACGAAAAGATGTCAAGAAATCGAAAATATGAGAAACATACAATTGTATTTCTGTATCAATAAAACAGTCGATATGGAGAGCAAGAAATCCAAAAGAAGGTGAGAGAACTACATGTTGAATATATGTAAGAACTGTACCTCTGAATCAACGCAGATTAGATATAGAAACCAAGCAATCGGAAAGACTATGAAATTTTACCGATTCCAGAGGCGCCTCCGGTGACCAAAGCTGATAGGCCAGGCTTGAGCTCCATCGTTCTCGTATTATCCGCCTAGGGTTTGATCACAGTTTGTCGCGGAGGAAAGAACGCAGAGTGAAGACGGTGAGACTCATTGTTCAGTCCTCACAGCTGTGCGTATTTATTGTAAATTTTTTTTTTTTCACGTCCGTCCGGTCATGTAGTTGCCGCCTCTATTCTATCTTTTCGAAAGCGATGAAATTGGGAATAAACGGCATTGGACCGTTAGATTTGAGGGGTATGTTACCAAAACGGATTCAATTCTACTTACACGTTTGTGGACCGTTGGAATGGATTTTATTTTAAAATTTTGATTGAATTTTGAATCGAATTAGCCACATAAATATTCTAATTTGGAAACCAAATCTATAGAATTATTTGATGGAATTAAGTTAAAAATTTAATGAATTGTGTTAAGATTTAATTAGATTATATTTTTGGATTGATATATCTATTTTATAAAGAATTCAACTATGATCATTGATATGCCTGCAAGGCAGCTACATTTTTTTAACTTTTTTTTTTTTAGTAATAATATTTATCTCAAATTTGTAATCCAAATTTGCATCCTAAATCAAAAAGGATCATTGGATCAATGATTCTCATTTAAAAAAATTGATGGAATCCACTGATCCAATGATCATCCTTCATTTGGGATACATAGTATTACTCTTTTTCTTTTTATTGGATGGACTGTTATGAAATTTCCAATTTCATTAAATGACTATAAATAGGGTTGTTCACACGAGTTGATGGGCACAAATTTTTAGATTCCATGATCCAAATCGATGAGTTTGCGGAAGACTATTTCTTTGACCGACTTTATCTGATTGAGGGTAGTATTCTACGCCAAATTTCATTCAAAAAATTGACTTGGATGGTTAAGTGGCATATATATCATATTCTAAAAAATTTCAAACTATTATATAAATTCAGAAATGAACTTTATATCCGAGATATTGTGACGCCCGAAAAAACCCAATTTCAGACAAAAGAGAAACATAACAAGGGATTATTCTATTGGATTAGATTAACAAACACACGGAAATTTATTTATTTTTTTTGAAAGAACTTTATTACACCATAAAGATGAGTGAAATTTGGAACCTAGTTCGAGGATCATGTGAGGACTATCTGTAGCAACCGAGTTCACTCTTAACTTTTACATAGAAGTTTTTGCACTACAAATATTTGTACAAATCATGAACCTTAACATACTTACACCCTCTTCTAGCTGCTATGGATGGAGGGTAACAGTTAAAGCAAAAATCAAATCATAATGTCTCTAAATTCATCCAAAAGCCTACCAAACTCTTAACACAGTAGAGCTAATATACGAAAACAAAAAGGTCCTCATTCCAGGGAAATCATGGTTATTCTGCAGCGCTCCCTTTGCTTTGCTCATCAGCATTTAGCTCCTGCACTTAGGACAAAAATCCAAAAAGAAAAACAAACAATTAATAACCCCTATAGGAAAGAAACCAAACAATGATGACTAATAATATTTAACTTTATTTATTGCTTCTGATGGGACTCTTCTGAAAAACCTACGATGAAGACACGTGTCCTCGGGTTTTTCGAACAATGTTGCTCGGGTTCGAGCACCATCGGCAAGGCGTCCTCTCCCCGAGGTACCTCTCATATAGGATCACATATTCGGTACATTTATACAAAGACATGTGTCCTCGGTCACCATGTACCTCGGGAACACGCCACCCCCTTGGTCCCCGAGGTGAGCCTTTCCTCGGCGCCGAGGGTCACTCCATCCTGGACGCTTCCTCTACTCCCGGATAGAGCTACTGACATACTGGACATCAGCCTATGCCAGTATGGGTTATTCATCATGACCTCTTCTTACACAAGTAATGTCAGAACGTTCTGGAATACCGACGTAACAGCCAATAAGGGATGGACGCGTGGCAAATAATGTCACATCCGATGCAGACAAACCGCATGCCGTTGCTGACACGCGACTTGGGAAAGCAAACCATTAATTGCACCCTTCTGTTGACGAGACCGCATTCAATGCGGTAAGGTTCGGATATGAAAGGCAATAAATGCTCCTATTACAGAGCATTTATTGCATCCTTCCCGACAGGAGCATATTGTACCGTCGGCGTCCCGACAGACTCAGCATTGATTGTTCGGGACCCCGAGCAGTCAATTAGAGAAGACATTCCTCATCAAATGATTACGCACGCTATCTGTGCCTGATGATTACCTACTGACCACACTGACAGCAATCATGATCTTCTAAGGTATAAATACCCCTCCCAAAAGACAAAGCGGGGAGGGCAATCTAAAACTCTCAACTACAAAATATCCTTCTCAGTGTTTTCTCCTTCCTCTCTCTCATTCAAAGACTGACTAGACCGTCGGAGGGGATACGCCGGAAAACACTCCGGCGCCCTTCTAACTTGTTCTCCTTTGTTCCAGGAAATACCTTCCACACGTACAGGATCGTTCCTCCTTTCCCAGGATCACCCTTGGCCGTTTCCGGTTGCCACCGTACCTTGTAGGCTGTTTCAAGCAGCGTGTTTGGCTACTCAACCGGCTCACCCAAAGTTCACCAGGGGAGAGATCTGTTCCCAATATTTTATATATCGTGCAGGATCGAGCCCGCACAATCTGGCGCCGTCTGTGGGAAACGAGTAGTTTTCCTAATCTCTAAAAAGAACAGTGACCATGGTGAACACCAGACAGAAAGGGAAAGGACCCCACCAACGGAGTCATGAGTTGCAAGCTCCCTGCCATCACGGAGGGAGGGATCGCACCAGTACGATTAAAAGTGCCTCTACTCGGTCAAGGGGGGTAACCCCTCAAACCAGTATGGGGATCAGGTCAGGAGGATCAGCCCCCTTGGCCCGTCAGCTGGCAGAGGTGATTGAAGAGAAATTTGGCGATAGATTACGTCAGCTGGAGAAGGACAATGTAAACGTCCTTAGCCGGCTCGACGAGTTTGCTGCCTCAGGCGGAGGGTCGAGGGATTCATTCCTCTCCCGAGGACTCCCCGTCCATGAGGCGGAGACGAAGGATCTAAGGAACCACCTGGATCACAAAGCAGAAAGCTCCAGGGCCCCGAAGCGACCCAAAGCCGGCGAATGTCACCTTGACAACCAGTCCAGGAAAGCAAGGCCCTTGGCCCTGGACGACCTCCGGCGAGGTTTATCCAGACGGAGGAAGGGAGATGAATCCGAGGAGGACTCAACCCAATCTACACGACGCCCAGGAAACGAGGGGCTTACCGACGAACCCAGAGACTTCAGGAGGCATCCCGTAAGGGAAGAAGTAGATCTCAGAGCCCGATTGGACTCTAGGAGAAAGGGCAAGACAATCCAGGACGAGGCCGAGGATGAAGTCATGCAAACACCCTTCACAAGGGAAATCAGTGAGATGGACGTCTCAAGAAAGTTCGTCGTGCCACGGTTCAAGACCTATGATGGGCGATCTGATCCCGATGCCCATATCAGACAGTATAAGCAGATGATGTCCCTCTATCATTCGGACCAACGGTTTCTATGCCGGGTGTTCCCTATGAGCTTGGGGGACTCCGCGATGAGGTGGTTCGAGGCGCTTCCCCAAACAGTATTGGGTCCTGGAAAGAATTGACAAGGCAGTTCCTAACCCGATTCATCACGGGGAGTAAGCGCCCAAAGGACATTGGATCACTGCTGACCCTCAGGAGGAGGGAATCCGAGACTCTTCGCCAGTACGCCATCCGATACTGGGAAGAAGTCAATGAGGTCGAGGGATGCTCGGAGGTCATGGCAGCAGCATCATTCCGGCTCGGCTTGGCGAGGGACACGGACCTGTACCGATCCCTGACCAAAAAGACTCCCTCGGATATGGGGGAACTGATGGCCCGGATCAACAAGTACTCAAGGGTCGAGGACGAGATGGGGAGCAACAAAGGCCGAGCCCTCCAACCCAAGAGAAAGGAAAAAGAGCACGAAGATATTCCCCGGAAGGGATTGCTACCCCGTCCAGGGGGTTCGTCCAGAGGAGTTCACACCGTCTTCAAGGAACCCATCTTCAGGTTGCTCCATAAAATCAAACGCGAGCCGTTCTTCAAATGGCCGCCCAGGATGCAAAGCGACCCCTCCACCCGTGATCAAACAGTAAGGTGTTCATATCACCGGGATGTCGGGCATCGCACCGAGAGCTGCAGGGTGTTCAAGTCATTCTTGGAGAACTTAGTCCGAGATGGATACCTGAAAGAATACATAGAGCCTAGGCCAGAAGAAAAACGAGCCCCTGCCCCGACCGAGGAACCAAACAACGTCATAGACGTCATCCATGTGTGTCCACTGGAGCGCCCCACGTCCAAAGAGCTCGAATCCGACCTCAAGAGGGTAGCTTTTACCAGAAAGGTAGCCGAAGGAGGTGTGGGGCCATCAAGCAAAAGGGCCAGGATGGGTGAACTTGGCATTACGTTCTCTGACGCGGATTTGACGGGCGTGGTGATTCCTCATAACGACGCCCTTGTCTTAACCCTAAAGATAGGGAAATTCGATGTCAAGAGAATCTTGATAGATTCAGGGAGTTCCTCGGAGGTGATGTACTTCGAGACTTTGAAGCGGATGGGCTTTGGCCCCAAAGACTTGACCAAAATCAGGACACCCCTCATCGGGTTCAACGGCTCTTTCGCCTTGCCCGTAGGGAAAATTACATTACCAGTCGCCACTGGTCCCTTCGTCATCGACACAGAGTTTGTGGTGATCGACACGGACTCCCCTTACAACGTGATTATGGGGCGAACATGGCTACACGCGTTGGGAGCGGTACACTCCACTCTCCACCAGAAGTTGAAGTTCGCCACGCCAGAGGGCATCATGGAGATTCGGGGGGATCAAGCGTCTGCGAAGAACTGTTTTTATTCGGCCGTCCGAGCCGGGGCGTCCAGCCAGGAGAAAGGGCGAGCACCGGAAGAGATCATGGAAAAATAGCAATTACAGTCCGGGCGTCCAGGCATGGATGACCCCCGGGTAGACCCAGCTGAACGATCGGTTGAAGACCTCCGGAAGGTTCCCTTGGTTGAAGGAGAAGAGGAGAAGTATTTCCTAGTGGGGACCTCGATGCCCGCGGCCGAACAGGAGGAGAT